GTGTGTGTGTGTGTGTACACGTGGTAAAACACCCAACCAAATCTGCCAGGATCTGGACAATAAATAAAGATGTATCTTATCTTATCTTATCTTATCTTATTTGAACAGTTCGCCAACGCTATATCTTGAATATGTAAGATTTAATTGGAGCTGTCATCTGATGAGAATGCCGCTCAATACAACCAGCTGCGTGGTAATAAAACACGAGAGAATGGGCATACAAAGGCAGGGGGAGACAACGACAAACATGGGTGGATCGGACTAAAATAATTGTGAAGCGGGCTGACAAAATGAGGTACTACTCGAATTCAAGTCTCATGGAAAATGATCACGTTTATAGGTGAAGTTTTTACTTCTTATTAGTAAGAAATAACAAATGCCATGTTCTAGTTAACCCTATCCGTACGTCGTGTTTTACTCTCGTATCCATACGACGTGGGGAACTCTGTGCCCCCACTTTCCAAAGAGGAAATTTACTCGTTAATCCGATCCTTACGATTTGCATAGCAGTCTGTCAAAATGATTTTTTAAAGAAATATTGAAAGTTTCAAAGAGATCTTCGCTCTAGAAGTGTTCTAAAATGTGAAGAATACAACCCCTGGGGTACAAATTGACCCCATGCGTACGGATAGGGTTAAAGAAAATGGCTTCAATAAAAATTCTACAAATTCGACAATTTGTGTCAATTGTTTGTCAATATCCCCATTTGTGGATTTCGAGAAGCATTTCATTTTGTCAGCACGCATCACAACTCTCAAACAGCAGTCACCCACTTATCCTAGACCAAAATTTGCGCATCCCCTCGACGTCTAACGATACAAGAGCGTGGAAAATGTAAAGTAAGACACATAAAGTATTCTGGTATTTCCTTTTTCCTCTCAGTTCGTTCCCTATCATTGACGTCGGTTATCTTTGTTTTCCCCGGTACTACTGACGATCAAACGAGCACAAACAACATTTACGTGCGCTTACGAACACACACACGGACACATGGACAAACGAACAATCACCTGATGACAGGTCTAGCACTGTCCAAGCACCCTTGGGCATAATTACACGCACGTGCACACGGACACACACACACACACACACACACACACACACACACACACACACACACACACACACACACACACACACAAATA